TGTACTAAGATTTTCAAACCCATGCGGGCTGTTAGGAACATTTAGTGGGCTGATAAGAGTGCTTGGAACCGAGGCAGGCGACTTTGGGTTAGACAACAAACAATTCTCCGGTGTGCTAACAGATTCACACCCATTCTGTACATTTGGAGCAGTCAGGTCTTCAGTGTGATTGGGTGAGGTATTGAGTTGGCTGCCACCATTTTGAGTCAATCCTTGACCAGTCACACAAGCTTCATTTTCAACTACAAATTCAACATGACTTTCATTTCCCTCTGTCTCCAAATCTTTAGCCCAGTCCCACGCTCTGTTTTCTTCAAATTGGACATCCCTGCTAACACATAACCTTTTTGTCTTTGGGTTGTAAAGTCGATATGCTTTGCTTCCTGGTTCACTCCCAAGATGTACCATTGCCTTCTGTCTGACAGCTTTGTTAATTTGGGTGTTGGTACTTTGACATGCGCCATACATCCAAACACCTTTAGGTGTTCCAAATTGGGCTTCCGTCCTTTCAGGGCTTCATACGGGGTCTTCTTTTCTAAAGCTTTTGTCGGAGTTCTGTTCATGATGTAGACAGCATGTCGTACACCTTCTCCCCACAACCATTGCGACATATTCATGGCCTTTAACATAGATCTTGTGGTTCCAAGAACTGTTTGGTTTCGGCGTTCAACCACACCATTCTGTTGTGGCGTATATGGTGCGGTTAAATACCTATTTATACCTTCTTCATTGCAAAGTTGTTCAAAGTTGGTGGAGACAAACTCACCTCCACGATCAGTTCTCAATGGTTTCACCTTGTAACCACTATCCAATTCAATTGACTTCTTGAACTTGTTGAATGCCTCACATGCTTGGCCTTTGAACTTGATAACATATACCCACATAAATCTGCTGAAATCATCAACTAGCAATAAAAAGTACCTGTTGCCAGATGGTGTACTTGGTGTAATAGCACCACACAGATCAGCATGTATCAGTTCAAGGGGCTGTTGTGCTCGATAAGAAATTTGGGATGGGAATGGAAGACGTCGTTACTTCCCAACAAGACAAGCTTCACACAATTGTGACTTGTGATTTATGTTTGGCACACCAATCACCAATTTTTCTTTTGATAACTTCCTTATAGCATCAAAGTTTAAGTGTCCAAGGCGTGCATGCCAAATCCAGGCTGCCTCGTCCATTTTTGCAAGTAAACATGCTGGTTGAACTATATGAAGATGTACCTTATATAGTCGGTTTGGAGAC